TCGCATTCCTCACTCCTGATGAAGCTTACTGAATCAGCCGCATCACTTGTTGAGTTGCTTTATAGATATACAGTGACTACATGAAGAGTTTCAGAGAAAACATGTCCGATTTTCTGGAAGCTGGACTCATCATAGACATTGAAGTCGGGCTTGGTCCAGCAGGAGAGCTCAGATATCCCTCTTATCCACAAAGCCAGGGATGGGTTTATCCTGGTATTGGAGAATTTCAGGTAAGCTCGTTAGTCTAGAAATTTTCACTAGGACTAGGCTAATAGGTTGTCGTACTTGTAACATCATTCTTTTGAAAACTATGCATGCAGTGCTATGACAAATACCTGAAAGCACATTTCAAGAAGGCAGCAACATCCGCTGGACATTCTGAATGGGAACTGCCAGATGATGCAGGGAAGTACAATGATGTCCCAGAATCCACTGACTTCTTTAAACCAGACGGCACATACCTCACTGAGAGAGGGAAGTTCTTCCTGACTTGGTACTCAAACAGATTGCTGGAACATGCTGATCAGATCCTTGATGAAGCCAACAAAGCTTTTCTTGGCTGTAAACTTAAATTAGCAATAAAAGTATATTCATGATGCATCAGACTTTCACAACACTGGCTTCCATTTGTATACGCAGATCAATTAACTCTCAACCATGACAAAACAGGTCTCAGGAATACACTGGTGGTACAAAGCTCCAAGTCATGCTGCTGAGCTTACTACTGGATACTACAACCTAGATGATAGAGACGGGTATCGACCAATAGCACGAATGCTGTCTCGTCATGATGCTATTTTGAATTTCACTTGTCTTGAGATGAGGGATTCAGAACAAAGCTCTAATGCCAAAAGTGGACCTAAGGAACTTGTTCAACAGGTAATGCATCAGAAGTTTTCTTCAGTTTAATACCCAATCTACTTTTTGGACATTATGTCACATTCAAATGGTTGTATGGCAATGCTGAACTACCAAAAAGGCAAATCTTTGTGCAGGTTTTGAGTGGAGGTTGGAGAGAAGACGTTGAAGTTGCTGGAGAAAATGCACTTTCAAGGTATGATGCAACAGGTTACAACCAAATCCTCCTGAATGCTAGACCAAATGGTGTCAACAAAAGTGGCCCTCCAAAACTGAAAATGTATGGGGTAACATACCTGCGTCTATCAGATGATCTTCTGGGAGAATCAAATTTCGAAATATTCAAGAAATTTGTTGGAAAAATGCATGCTGATCTGGTGAGCAGTTTGTCATACATACACTATTATGACAATGGTTTTGACACTGCATTTACTACAGTATTTAAAAGCCTCTGGCTTCTTCTAACTCTTCCTCAACATTGCAGGATTACATAGAAGACCCTCAAAAGTATGGTCACTACTTAACTCCGTTGAAGCCATCAAAACCAAAGATTCCTATCGAAGTTCTTCTTGAAGCAACCAAACCAATTCCGCCATTCCCATGGGAATCAGAAACAGACATGAAAGTTGATGCTTGACTTGCCAACCAGGTGTAAAAGATCTTTTCAAGGCCAGATGGAATAGATTACCACTTTTACCCCTATATTCCCATGTGTGCAATCCCAGAAATAATGCCACAATGTGGCACTTGGAGTTGGAGATATCTGTTGAGTGAATTATGAATAAGAAGCTTTCGGTATTTCAACGTCGTGTACTGTGTTGTCAAACTATTGAATAAAGAGTTAAGAGTGCCCGTGTATTTGGAGTTGCTTAGCGTTTCATTGAACTTCCAAATTTACCTTCTCTAAGATGATGAAGCCAAAGGATATCTCGCTTGCTAATCTCTCAACTCATAAGCTCAAATTCAATAATAATTTTAATTAATACCAGAATGGTGATTTTTTTTTATCAATATAATAGCGTTAATAAGGGCAAAAGAAAGTGCAACTTCAGCTGTCACCCCCAAAACATCTTTCCCTTTTACTACTCCCACGCTGAAGCTGAACTATTGTCAAGCTTTAGATCATAATCTTTATTTTGTGCCTTCTTTATTCTATTATTAATTTATACCTCTACCAATTCTATTTATTTCCTACTACTAGAATTTTAAATTTTTCAAAAATATTCCAGTTACCAGATTTATTTTCAGTTTTTAACATATTCTTCAACTTTGAGGTAAGTATCAATTTTGTCTCGATCTTTTTTGCAAAAAAAAAAAAAAAAAAATATATCAATTGAAATTGAAATATTGTATCATATTTACTTGTGATTAAAGTTCATATCCTAAAATTATTAACGAATTAGAAAACAATGAGATGAAAATATTTAAATCTTAAGGACCCCTTGAAAATATCCCGAGTTTTTTGTGATCACTGACCATAAGTTTAAATTTAATTTGCTCTTTACGGCCCAACAAAGAAGGCAAAGCGGACTTGGGCTGAAGATCATCTTTGGGCTAGGGTTTAATTTACAATAGCTGAAAACCGGACGAGGGGGGAAGTTGAAAATGAAAACTTAGGATTCAGCTTAACTTCAAAACCCTACGACGTTTGCAGCTTCTCATTCCCTCTCGCTTCCATTACTGCTGAAGAGCTTCTTATTCGTCTGTTAGTTCCGTCGTTATGGCTCCAAAGCGGCTTCTAGAGGACCCGCCACCTGCTTCTTCCTCGGAAGATGAGGAAGAAACAGAGGACGACGTTGCCGAAGAAGACGAAGAAAATGGTGATTCCGAAGGACTGGAAGACGAAGACGAAGACGAAAACAGCCATCAGAATAAGAAGCCCAAGTCTAATAATACCCCTGTCACCAAATCTCTAAAAGGTACACAAGACCAATCTGCGTCAGATTCCGGCGACGAAGCTGGGTCGGAAACGGAGTCCGACGATTCGCGGCCCTCGCCATCTGCCTCCGCCTTCACCATCAAGCCTATTGCGTCCAAACCAATGAAAGATTCCGTACAGTCCCAGAAAAATTCCGCTAACCGGAAGTTGACCATGTCGCCAACTAAGACTGTCACCGGCGGCGTGAAGCGCTCCCGGGAAAGCGATGATGTTGAAAAGAAAGAGTCAAAGAAGAATAAAGTATCTAATGGTCAAGATGAAGATTTGAAAAGGGGATCAGGTGCTCAACGCCTTTGGAGTGGAGACGACGAGGTTGCGATTTTGGAGGGCATGATCGAGTACCAATCCGAGAAAGGGGCTGACCCGTGGGCTGATATGGAGGCTTTTTATGGATTCGTTAAGGAAAATCTTCACGCCGATGTGTCGAAGGACCAATTAAAGAACAAAATCAAGAGGTTGAAACAGAAATACCAGAGCACTGCAGAAAAGGGTAAAAATGGTGAAGCCCCTGTTCTTGGCAAGCCACATGACTCCAGGCTTTTCGATCTATCGAAGAAAATTTGGGGAGCTTCCGTGACAAATGGGGTGGATGATAGTGCTAAGAAGAAGAGAAAGCCAACTCAGAGCGAACCCAAGACTTCTGCTTCAGCATTACCGAATGGTGAAATTAATGCTGAACTAGCAAGCCCTAATTCGTCATTCTTTGACGCGTTACTGGCAGATGGGATGTCGATACCAGAGGGTGCTGCAAGTGTTATGAAGGAAGCTCTGCCATTGATAGGGAGGGCGAGGACCAGGGAATTGGAAAGCAAGTGGAGGAAGTTGCAGGAAGATGAATTCAAATTGTACTTGAAGAAGGTCGAGTTGGTTCGCGACTCTGCTAAACTGATGTTAGAAGCGATGAAATCATCCATGTCTTAGTGTTCTAGCCATGATAAGGTACATCGTTTGTTTATGTGAAATACATTTTTGCCGTCATAGGACTTCTACGGGACAATATGGCGAGTTCAATCAATCCCATTTTTTTCCCCTTCCAATCTGCTTTTGATGTACGTTGATCAAACGAATGTCACGTTTAAATTTTTGGAAATGGCATGAACATCTTTAAAATGGCTGAAATGAATTTCATATCTTAAATGGTGAAGGCTGTGGATGTTTTCGTCGGCTAGACGGTCATGAGCTTTTTCCAACTTTCAAGTAAACTGGATACATCTCTCCCTCCGTTATACGAAGCTTGAGGCAAGGCACACTGGTTATGACTTGTTTGACTCACGAATATTACAGTATTTCGGATTTTATGTTATACTAATATTGATATTGATTGATATTGATGTTAAACTTCTAAAATATACGTCAGATGAAGTTAATGAAAAACAAGAAGTTCAAGGAATTTCCATTTGATATTAGCTGTGTAAGCTTTATGTCCCCATTTCAGATTTCACTTGAGAGATAAAGAAGAGCACCGTTTCGCTCGCTAAAATTCGAACATCAAGTTAGACACCCGAGCAAACGACTGAGAAGTGAAGATTAAGATGGGGATTGTTTAGAGGGAGTGTTCGAGAGAATCATAGAAAAGATATTGAGTGAATAATGGACAATTCAATTGACAGATTCCTCCTTTATCCCTTTCTAAACGTAACAAACAGCTTATGTTTTAGTTCTCTGCATAATGCTGTGCTTGTTCAAGGTGTGTGAAACTTGCTCTTTTGTCTTCGAATGACCCCCCGGGGGGGGGGGGTTACAGGGAATTCGATGTTATATGCAAACGAGTAAAACAATATTGCCAGCAATTCCACTTCCTACCCATGGATTTGGTAGAGGGCAAGCATTGCCTTTTGGCACTGGCTTGAGAGGATGAAATTTCTGAATTAATCCTATGGGCAGGGTATGATTCCATCGTTGCCTCATTGGGCATTTGTCACTCTTTTGGTGGAATATTTATATTCCCTGTGCACGTAAACGGGAATAACAATTATACAATCCAGGTTTATGTGTCGAGAATCATCTGCATAAGTTTGCCTCGTGAATTGAAAGCAAGAGTAGGAGTCATAAATGATGATTATGTTCATGGCGGCCTTTGCTAATTGGATTGGGAAAGTATATTTGTGATGGACAAAATATATCCCTTAGATTCTTTTAAACCATTAGTAAGTGACTATGTAAGAGAGATACTACAACAAAATCATGTCAAGATAAAGCGAAATTGACAAGCCAACTTAATGTTTAAGAAATCAAATACTAATGAACATAAAGGGGGAAAAGTATCTAATAAAAGGTGCCTGTGGTTGTGGCCACTATAGGGCTTCAAAACTTAACATGGAAGGAAAAATAAAAACTCAATAATATGGCACTGTGAAAACAGCTACAGCTTGGTCATCTTCAGAATAAAAAGGAACTTCCTTTTTTGGTTGGGGATTACATGATGGAGAATGACAATGGAGAATGACAAATTATGATGAAGGAGGAGCCTACAGCCTACAGCGAGGCAGTGGCAGAAATGTAATAAACAACAGAGAGGAAGGCATGAACAAAACACAAAATGCCACCAATGGACAGAAAATGATGATGCGACAGCCCACACGAGCCGTCTCGCTTGTTGTTTGACATCGTCCCTATCACCAGCATCGATAATCCAACGGCCAACACCACCCTGAACCATTCATAAAACCAAATCACATCTTAGTCATCCCCCACCGCACTGCTTTTATCAACCACAAGCTCTTTGTTTTCAAGACAAAATTGAATAAATTATTGCAAAGTAGCAATAGTTCTTTTTTAAGAAATAGTATTTTTAATCAATAACTTTTCTATAGTAGTTTGATGTGCGACTCCATGGACCAACTAGCCAACATATAGTCCTCCCTTCAATTCTTATTGAAGATAACATATTTTATCTTCTATTATTATTCTGCTATGAAGGATATATCCAAGTTTGAGAGACAATACCAGGTTAAGATGAGGGAGGCTACAGAGAGTTGCCTATTTGGGGGAGCCTTCTGAAGCTCTTCTTGAGAACAGACACAGCTACAGCCATTAATCAAATTGACTATCACATGAGCTAACCCGAAAAGTAGTGCAGCGCCTAAACCCAACATGAAAGCTTGGTGACTTGGGTTCCTACACTCAAATATCCACAACCTCACGTGCTTAACCTGTTTGTTAAAAAAACCAAATAAACATTCAACTGTTTGATCTGAAGCTAATTAAGCCAATAGAACAGCAAGCCTTTAGCCTTAGCCACCATTTATCCACGTATGCATACCTTATCCTGTGCAATCTCGGCCTCGATGCCAAGAATTCCAGCCGCGATATCCAAGACCACGATCAAGAAACACAGAAACATTCCCCCCGGACTTGCCATTTGTGAGAATAAAGAAAACGAAACGTGTTTGTGGGTTGAGGATGCGCGAGAGTGAGAAAACAGATGGTGGAGGGGCTATATATAAAGAGTATAGAATGAAAGCTGTAGGAGATGGATTAAATGGAAAAAAGGAAAAAAGTTTCTTTCGTCATTAGTCTGAACTTTTGTTTGCTTTTGTGTGTGTGTGTTCTCTTTTTTTGTATGCGGTGTTGGAATTTTATGATAGGGAGCGAGTAAAGGAGGGTATAAACCAGCTCACAGAATAGCGTGACCATGGTGTATGAACATGTTATTAAGTCATTTATTCATTCCTTGACTTTCAAGGCGGACTGGTAAATCGTTAGTTCTTTAAGCATGCTATATCAACAACTTCCTCTATAAAATTAAATTGTACTGTTTCTTTCTATTTATTAATTATGAGAATGTTTTGCACTTGATGAAGCATAGCGAAGTCTTAAGTTTTCTATGCTAGGGATGTAATAATAAATAAATGCTGAGGAATATATACCCTCAGGAAAGCAGAATATGAATTACAATTCAATTAATTATTTCTGCTTTACATGCAATCCATCGCAGAAAATGGGGCACGTGAAGCAAGACATGAACAAGGAAGGCAAGCATAATAATTAGTCGGGAGTTGTGTGTGTACTGCAAGCTAAATTCAGAAAGATATGAAAAGGGTTGAAGCTCATGGCATGTCCCTTACTAGGATCAACAACGTTCATGTGGAGAGATGCTCGAAAATTGCACCAGTCACAGGCGACGGCATCGATGTCTTTAAAGTGAGGCAACTCCTCTGTATTAAAGCCTGATGTTCCCCTTTGATTTTAAAAACAAAAATAAAATCTTAACATAGAGAATTCAGAATCTTCACAGTTCACTCAATTCAGAGCCTACCCTGCCAGCTTCTTGTGTACAGAAGCCATGCTATGAAACTTGATTTTCTCGAATGACCATTCATTAAAAAACTTTGGATGCTCTTTCTTCGTTTGCTTATATATAATAGCAACAATACTTGTCAGTAAAGATGTCGCTTGTACCACATGGAGCATAACAAAAAAGGAAAGCTGATCACAAGGAATATGTTAAAGTTACGACGAGACCTTGCTGCACATTGGATCAGATTTCCCACTTTCCAGCCATCATATTTGCTTGCTCGACTCAGGGATTATTAAACGCTCCAAGTGTTTCAGACGGGATGACACGGTTGTACCTCAAATATAAACCCCCCACCCTACGGGGTTTTTCTTTCTTCCTTTCAATTTATGCTAAATTAGAGTAAAAGAATTGACACTGAGTGCCCTACAACCAAAGGTCAATGAAAACATTGCATGAGAACGAGAACGAAAGTAAAAGGAACGAAGACCTAGAGACTCTCGGCGTTGAAAGAGGCAGGCCGGCCTGAAGGTCCCTGAAACAGAGAAACTTTACTTCGTTCGCCCCGTGTTTCCACTTTCAACCATTGAACCATTTCTCTATCCAGTGGAGTCTCATATGTTACGCCATCTAACAGCGGGCTGCCAAAAGATCTTTTTCTAAGATGGGGCCAAGATTTCTGGGCCAGCTGCTTATACTATCTCCTGTCCTTAATATAAGAACTAATTGACTAATTAGAGCTGATTAAAAAAATTAGTTAAGTTAGTTATTTGTAATAAATAGATGTTATATTTCATAAAATATTTTTGCTAATAAAATGTATTGGTTAAAATTATTATTATTACAAGAACTATCTTTAGAAAAAATAAATAAATATAAAAGACAGGGTAGATTGGAGTCTTATATTTAAAACTAAAATAAAAATCAAATAAGTTCTTATATTAAAAACCGAAAGTAGTATTATGCAGTAATCCAAAACATTTTATTCAAGAATTCACCAAACTGTCCTAATTGATAGGTTTCACAAAATAGAGCATTTGGAGGTGCCAAATCTGTTGATTATTCAGATTCAGAACTTAATGAAGTATCATTGGGATCTAGAGTTGCGCTATGTTCCAAGAGAGGAAAACAAACTAGCGAACGTTCTTGCTATAAAGAAGGCTTATGGGGTACTGCTACATTAAGCTTTTGTCCTCCTCATTTGAAAAGTGTGTTCGACAATGATGTTCTGTGATCTATTCCCGGCCGGGGGCCCTTTTGTTTAGTTGTCTATTTTGGGCTTAGGCCCTCTTTGCACCAAGCTATGCGCAAGTATTAACTACCTTGTAAGTTGGCCCACCAATAAACCACAGGAAACCTAAGCTATCCATCACAAACTCCAAGATGATCATCACAATGCCTAGAACGGGCACTTCCTTGGTTATATGAAAACGAAGTGCCCTTCACAATCCGTCAAATTATTGTACTCTACATCCATTTGAGGCCATTACCGTTGGATATACTACTCTATTTACCAACCACGTATGGAGGCCTCCTTCATATACTTCAGCTTAATAACAATATTCGATCGGTGTTGTTGTCGTTATGTCTTATAACTTGAATCTTTATATATATATATATATATATATATATATATATATAGAGACACGCTATAACTAGCGATTAGCGAAGGTCCAGTTACAAATTCAACGAAAATTTACGTTTATAGTTACATTTACCGTGAAAAATAGGAATTTCGTTATAATAAGTAACAACACGCATGAGATCTAGTTAAAGAAAGCTACAGACATTTGTGCATTCAGTGCAAAAATTGTTATGGGATTAAGTCATAAGAAAGTTTGAAATCAAATTTGGAATTGATTGACGCACTTTGAATATTTTTTTATTAGATTTCCTTTTTCTTTTATATTCATTTTGATTCTTTACTTTATATTTACATTATTTATTATTTTTAATTTAAAAATTATATATATAAGTTTTATTAGCTTTGTTTACTTTGATTTTAGATATATGAGATCTTAAATGCAAAGTAAGAGACAGAACAACTTAAAAGTTTTTATTGACAAAGTTGGCTGGATGCATGCACAAATGCACAATAAATCCTATGAGGTTTTAGAATTGTGAGATTCGTTTCTACTCCCTCCGTTCCTTATTATAAGAGACAAATAACCGAAGTACGTTGATCAAAAAAACAGTTAAAATTAGTTAAGAACAATTAATGTGTAAAAAGTATAATTTTTTTTCAAAATGCCTCATTAATAAGGAGAGAGAGCATAAGAGAGAACATTAAATTATTAAAAGAAAGAGAAGTGGGAGGGAGAGAGAGTGTGAGTTGGAGATAATAAATATGGAAAAATAGTAAATCAACACAAAAAGTAGAGACAACTTGTAAGTGTCTCTTTATATAGGAACATGCCATAAGCATCAAATGTCTCTTATAATAAGGAACGGAGGAGTATCTAATAGTCTGAGGTCGTGTGTGGACCTTTTTTTTTTTTTTGGGTGACAGATCATGTGTAAACTTTTGTTGCACATAAATTGCCTTTGATTTTCGTTTGAAACACAAGTCAAACAGATCCCAAGGTAAAATTGGCACTCTGATGGCTTCATTTGTAATGAACGAGTAAAGAGGAAAACTATTCATCAACCAGCAATTGCCCCTTATCTATGAATGTACATAAATTTTCAATGAATTGCATAAGACATAATGCTTAATGAACGGGCAATGAATTGCATAAAACATAATGTTTATTTTAATCGTAATAGAGAGGGGAAAGTGAGCATATCCAGATGTTATTAGCTTCCCGATTTCAAAGCTCGAAGCTTCAAATATATAGCAGAGTAATTTATATCCTGATAATTTACAGCTGTTCAACCTAATTAAACAACGATGTGAAATATACAATTAAGAGATTCACGCTATGAACATATGCAGGAGATCAACTATGAGAGTCTAGTTAAGCTTAAAACATGTACGGTGTGGCGGAGAACGGCGAAATGTATATTTTAGGCTTCATCGGACTTTCCCTGAGAAACAAAACACGAAAACATCAATGACTGTTCAAAACTCAGAACAACCGATTAATTTCTTGATTGGCTAAATATGAACACTCACTTGTCATCATATTTGGATATACAGGCAACATCCGCCACTGATTTGTTTTTTCTGGACGACTTGTCGGATTGCCTGTAAACTTTGTTGCCATGATCCTGATCCAGACTATCCTCCATGATCACTGACAGCGCCGGACGCCAATGCGATGGGCGGTTCCGGCGACAATAGACTCTGTTGCTCCCCACGCGACGGCAATCACCGGAAGTACCAATGTGGCAGAGATGCCTGTCGTCCGTCGCCGGCCGTCTCCATCGCGGATGACGGTAGCAGGATCCGAATTTGGAGAAGAAATTGGTCATCACTGAAATCAGGAAGCAGTGTGCTGTTTCGGTTCCTCTGATTTCGTTTCTTGAGATCGGAGTTTGGGGGTGGAAGCGTTCCGATCGGAGAATGTAACTTCTATATTCACGACGGAGTTAAGCATCCCTTAGCCATTAGAAATCTCTCGTGAGTATTTGTACGCAAGCAGTTGAGTTTTTAGCCTTATCCCTTTAAAATAGGAAGGATTGTTTTGTCAAGATAACTTTCTAATTTAAGTTAATTTGATAATTTCATACACTTGCACTACCGTTTTGAAGGATAACAAGTTATCCGCATTCCATTTACATTGAAAATTAACTAAAACATCAATTCAGCAAGAATTTTTTTTTTTTTACAAAATGTTAATTTTAATTAAAAGTAGTATAAATACTGGGAAATACGCGGTTTTATTCGATAGTGTTTTGCTGTGTGAAAATCAAAATATGAGGAAATTCAAAACAGAAATATTAGGAATCTGTGCCTTATCCTACCTAAGATGGGTAAAAACGCAAAGGAATGTATATGTATAAACCCTCGGGAGATCTGAAAAAAAAAAAACCCTCGGGAGAAAACAGCCCACTGACCTGCCCAAAAAAGGGAATATTTAATCGGAAGTAGCTGTAACGCATCTGGATAACTGTTTTCTTTGACCAGATATTCGGATAATGTTGAAACATAATAGTATTTACTTGTATCCTAAATTCCTAAACTAAGAAATACATTAAATCAACTGATTTTTTCTCATTTACTCTTATTAAATAAAGAGAGAGAAGGGGAGACGGAGTGCATAAGAAATGAAAAATTGAGAGAGAGATGAAGAGGGAGAGGGACGTGTTTTGAAAAGTCATTAATTCAGACTTAAATTAATTAACTTTTTATTAAATCAATAGGGAGGAAATTAGAAAAAGATCATTAATTATACTACAAGTCACTTATATTTTGAAACAAACTTTTGGGTATAAATGACCTATAATAAGAAACGGAGTGGCATATATGAATGATGCTTAGGAGTTGGCAAATAAAAAAGACGTTTAGAATATTCCAAATAAAAAGGATAATTATGTAAAGGGATCTTATCAAGGGTTTAATGATTTAATTAAACAATAAAGATCTCAATCAGTCCACCCGTTTAAGTAATAATAACTGGCGTGATTTTAATACAAAGGGAACGGGCAAGTAGCAAGGGCATAATGCTAATTATTATACAAATCCAAATTCAACAAAGCTGTGTTCCCTCATGGAGCTCAGCTATTGTACGTAAGGGGAACCGCTTCTTTTCTCTCTTACATCCTTTAATTCCTTTCCATCTTTTAATCAGGAGATCAAATTTGTACAGTTCAAATTTAATAGTTCACAAAATTATATAATTATAAAAATATATTGAAATTGCAAAATTCAGTCTAAGAAAAATTGGGAGGAATGAAATGCATAAAAAGTACTCCGTCCAGTTATAAATATAAGAATTATTTTTTACTGTAAATTATACTAACAATTAACAAATGTGTCTTATATTTAAAACCTAAAAAATAATATTTATTATCATTCAATTTTTTTGGCCAGTCACATTCACTCGTTAATGAATGGATTTGGGATAATTAAGTTGCTTGACGGGTGATAGCATCGTAGAAATAACTCAGAATCCAATTTGCCGGGGGTCCACATCAAAATATCAGAAAATATCTTTTACGTTGATTGAATAATGATATCAGACCATTTTCATTTTTATTTTTCTAGATCAGAATCCTTTTTATAGGGGAGAATTGTAATAAGATTTTATGGAAAGAACACATTCATTAAAAAAAACTCATAACGACTAAACAGTTTGTGATAACAAGTTTTAAAATAAAAAATAATGACAAGTTTAGGTTGTTCACTTATAATACAGATTTTTTAATAATTATATTTCTTTTTGAGGAGCTTATGGTAATTCTTCCTTTCTATAATCTGGACTTGTTTTTCAAACAACATTCGATGAAACTTTGAAAATAAAAATTTAAAAACACCTGATGGGAGGTCCATGAATATGGGCTCTAATGGTTGGGCTTAGAAATTGGGCCAACGCCAAGCCCAGACTTGGGTAACATACTCACATCAGCTACCAAAGACGAACTGAATTACTGCAAATTCAAAGGTGGCATGAGGGGAGGTGCGAATTATTTTGAATTCAATCATAAATTTCATTACTTTTTGGTGAGGTGCAGAGAGAATACTTCACTGATAACGGTAATTGCTCTAAGTATATATAAAGCAGGTGCACATCTCAAGCACATACCAAGTATTAAACCCTTTTCAACTAAGTTCCTCTCTCTCTCTCTCTCTCTCTCTATATATATATATATATATATTGTATAAATTGAAACTCAACATCCAGCCAATATCCTCTCTCCAGCCCTATTTATAAGCAACAACTATCGTTCATTTCTTATCCTTAAATATAAGTAACATTTGCAAATTTTTCTTAAATTTTTGAAGTAAATTTTTTTATTTTACCCCTATTAATTACTTATTTTAATACCCAATATATTTATTATCTCATTTTCCAAACCATCGTCACTTTCCATCCGCATTCTATCTTTTTTATAATTCTCTCTATTATAGTAATTATTTTTTATTCTCTTTTTACTCTTTCTTCCATAAATGAGGGTATTTCAAAAAAAGAACTTTTAATTTCTACATATTTATTGTCTTTAACTTACTTTTTGATCTACGTGATAGAGTCTAAGTTACTTATAAAAAGGGACTGAAGGAATATGTAGCAAATTAGTTGTAAAATCATAATGAACACCAAAAAGCATATTTAATCACAAAAGAGGCGGTCATCTGCCATTTTTGTGTTTTGGCATCAAACTGATCGACGACGAAGAGGTTGATGATTACAAAGGTCTGATTATTGTCTGCGTTATGCCAACTGAGCTGCACATGAATGTTGTATGTAGCCCCGTCACTTTCTCAGTGAAGAGTAGCCCGTCGTGATAGATGTGTTCCTGTTAAAAAAAGCAATTAACTCATAATTAAAGAAAAGATAATTCAAAGATGTTAGGATCTTCTTGTTTTATCTAATCGCCAGTTCTTGTTTTAGTCTTGGTTTCCATCTCTTTGAGGGTAAATTGCTGCATTGGTAATAAGTCCTGTGTTTCACGCAGCATAAGGTAAGTTTATTACTCATCACTTATGGATACTCCACGATGAAGCAAAAGAAGAAGCTAATGATAAAGACATGCAGAGCTTGAGAGCGGGGGGCCTGGGGGATATATGAAGAAAAGAGCAGATTGATGAGAATGACAAACGCAGGAAGGATGGAAAACCAATGGAAGTGCTAAAATGATATTTCATGTAAATATGTATGGCTTTTTCTTTTTACCTGTTAGTCGGTAAAAAGGAAATGTACAATCAAAATCATTCAACGTTTTGATCGATAGAGACATGTCCTTATGTGTGCAGCCTTGGCAGGATGAAATGATGCTTCACTCAAGCGTTGCACGATGCTTCAAATCGGGCGTCAAGTTGCCTTCATTCTTATCTTCTTGTACTTTTTCTCAGAGCATATTTGTGTTCAACCATATTACTGCAATTAATCTTCCTCAGAAACACAGTAAATTCATCTCATTAATTATCCCCACTCTTTATCTCCTCATGTGCCTTTTTAAATATATTGCACTCCTTTTTTTAATCAAACTTGTAAAACACAATCGAGCGCGCTTCAACAAAACCATATTGATTGTGAAATCACCACATATAATTTAAGTATTATCATCATATAGCATCTGTCAGTCACGCTTACAAACAGAAAATCCTTCACGTAAAGGTAGTGAAATGAAAACTCTAAGAAAAACAAAGAACTTCATTATAATTTATAAGATAACAAAATTTGGAATACGTGAGCATGTCCAGATCGTATCTTGATCAAATGAGAGGATTAAAAAAACCGAACGAATGAGAAGAAGAATAATTAAGAAGGAAAACTTGCCATAGTGACCAAATAATGTGAATATATGAAGAGGTCAGATTTGTTTTTAGTTGTGGCATCACACGCAGAAGCAAACGGTTTGATATGTGCTATTTTATAATAAAGATGTATAAATTATATTAAATAGGCGCATTATTTGAGAGCAGAGGAATGAATGCAACAGGAAGATCGAGACTTTTTAAGACTAACCATACATGGGATGTGGATTTAAATAGGTATTTTGTGAAAGTGAATTCGAAAAGAGTGGGCCGGCTATAGCACACCTTCTGTAACTTATTTGCCACCATGTGTTTTTAATTAGTTCGCATTATATATTAATCAAAATGATTAGCGCTACAAAACAAGTAAGCGCTAATTAAAAAACAATTAAGAAGAAGCCAAATTAGCTTTATGATCTTTTGATCAATCCAACAACTTATTTCAAAGGGACATTTATATATTAATTAATACATATTGGACTAGAGGCGGGCCATGTAGCATCTAAAAGAGTTCTATATCTAATGCAGCATCAAAAAAAGAACTTTTATGCTGCTTTTGAGAAGACGTACGTAATAGAAATTCTTCGACAAGAGCTTGATTCCTAAAATAATTAACTTGGAAATTTCCCACATTTTGAGAATATACGCTTGTATAATTTAAAGGAAAAATATATTATTACCTTTGACAAATAAATGAAATCTCTTTTTGATTCTCCACATATCGCTTCATTAGTTTAGTTAATAAATTATTAATACTAAGTCACATATGTCAAGCACTTAGATTATTTAGTCTATAGAAATATGTGTAGTTCATTATGACCAACAGGCATTATATTTAGTAAAAAGAGTTTAAACTCCATTGAAAGATATGTCACCTCTAATTCAATCATGTCTTGAATAGAATTGTGTTAGTAGAATTATTCATATATGCACTCAAAAAAATGTGTGTAGTTTATGATATCTTTTCTATCTCATTTTTATCCATATCTAATTATGCGAACTAATAATATACTGGGTTGAGCATTATTAGTTTCCAAATCTAACCCATATTGTTGACAAGTAACGATCAATATAATAAGTCAATGAACTACAGGTTAAATGGAGACGAAAATAAGGTATTAAAATACACTGCACTGTGTGAGCATTTTAATGATGACTACAGTAAATTAAAAATATATATTGGATATTTAACTTGAGAATTTACCTAGATAATTAAGACTTTTGTCGTAATATGTATAGACACATATATTCTCTATATAATTCAAATTACCGTTGTACATTCGGAAAGAAGTGTATGTGAATAAAGCTCGAGGTTTATTTACTCTGTTCCCTCTCTCAAATTTTGTCTCCAATACTATTTCTAGATATATATCATGTAATAATAATTGAGGACCTTTTCTCTGCTATATATATGGCTTCACAAGTCAGAGTTCACATCCCTCCTCCTCTCTACTGCATTTCCACATCCAAAGGGTTTTGCTCTGCAGCTGGAAGCATTCATATGGCTTTAAGCCTCTAAAAATTCAGAAGATAAAGCCCTAGCTTTTCAATCCTGTGCACCTTTCTCCTCTAGACGCGTGTCAAAAAGCACACAGAAACAATATCCTCTCCTCACTCCATCTTCTCTTTTTCCTGGCGTATGCATACTGGACGGATCTCTTCCATGCACGTCCAGGAAAAATCATAAACCTTGCAGGCATTTTTGATCGAGTTTTTCCTCTTGTTCATAAACCTAGAACCTAGCTAAAGCCATGAAAACTGAGTTAAAAGGAAGCACTACTTCCATTTCTCTCCAATACCCAACTCTCTTCAACGCACCCCACAGTAACCTTGGTCTCTCAGGAGAACTCAACGGGTGCCTAGGAAGCCTCGATGGAGCTTGTATAGAGAAGCTCTTACTCCATTGTGCCAGTGCTTTGGAGAGTAACGATGTAACTTTAGCTCAACAAGTCATGTGGGTGCTTAATAATGTTGCTTCTCCAGTTGGTGACACCAACCAAAGGCTCACCTCCTGGTTCCTTAGAGCCTTAATCTCTAGGGCCTCACGAGTCTGCCCGATGAACTTCAACGGAAGAAGCAGCACCATCCAGAGAAGGTTGATGTCCGTGACAGAGCTTGCAGGGTACGTTGATCTTATCCCTTGGCATCGGTTTGGCTTTTGTGCTTCCAATAGTGCTATTTTTAAAGCAATTCATGGGTTCCAAAGAGTGCACATACTAGATTTTAGCATTACCCATTGTATGCAATGGCCTACTCTTATAGATGCTTTGGCCAAAAGGCCAGAAGGCCCTCCTGAGGTTAAAATCACAGTGCCTTCTTGGCGGCCACCTGTCCCTCCTTTGATCAACATTTCAACAGAAGAAGTTGGGCTGCGTTTGGGGAATTTCGCTAAGTTCAGGGATGTCCCTTTTGAATTCAATGTGATTGGAAGGAGCACATCTTCTGAGTTAAGCAATATTAATGATTCATCCAGCTTTTCTTTTGAGTCAATGTTAAGTCACTTGAATCCTACCACGTTAAATCTTAGGGAAGACGAAGCTTTGGTTATAAATTGTCAAAATTGGCTACGTTACTTGTCTGATGAAAGAAAGGGGAGTTTCCAAGACGCATCCCCTAGGGACACTTTCATAAATCTAATTAAAAATCTTAACCCTAGAATAGTACTATTGGTTGACGAGGATTGTGATCTCAATGTACCAAGTCTCGCGTCAAGAATCACCACTTGTTTCAACTATTTGTGGATACCCTTTGATGCTTTGGAGACCTTTTTGCCTAAAGATAGCAACCAGAGGGTAGAGTATGAATCTGACATAGGCCAGAAAATTGATAACGTCGTTAGCTTCGAAGGGGTTCAGAGAATAGAGAGATTAGAGAGCGGCGCGAACATGTCGCAAAGGATGAAAAATGGAGGTTTCTTCAACGTTCAATTCTGTGAAGAAACTATGAGAGAAGTCAAGGCTTTGCTTGATGAGCATGCAAGTGGATGGGGTATGAAGATAGAAGAAGATATGTTAGTCCTCACATGGAAAGGCCACAACTCTGTCTTCGCCACAGCTTGGGTCCCCAGTGAGCTAAACGATCATATGGGTGTGGGCTGAGCTGTCTTTATAACATGGACTTAAACCTCATTTGGTCCCTCCCTATCAATTCACTGATCACTTATTGTATCATTCTAGTATTTACACACATAATTTTGTTTCAATTATTTGTCATGGGATTGAAACAAAACCGACTACCTCAAAGTACTAAAATGATACCAAAAATCTTCCGAATATTGATCAATACCATGAGGTTTGAGTATAAGCATACTATATACCATAAGACACAGCGCAGCACGAGCAATGGGCCTAGCATGAGAAGGATCTGAGTATTTTGGTTCAGTGGTCCAGGGAGAGGCAGAGAAGCGAAAGCAACTAAAGTTCAAGTCTGTGTGTGAAAGGGCTGCAAAATGACCAGCAAGCTAAAAGACAAGAAGGAAAAAGAGGCTTTCATTTTGAGTGTAATTCTCTCGTCTGCCAACTAATGGACGTAACGAAGCTAAGGCCGCTGGATCACATGAGAGGCATAAAAGATGAATGTGCTGATTGTCTTTGTACGAGAGTCAAAACTGTGTGTCTCTCAGCAATGCATGTATTCTCCTTTTGATGCAGCTTTTGTTTTCTGCGTTCGAACTGATCGCGTAAGAGAGTCTCTTGGTTCTTATAAGAATATCTGTCTTCTGTTTTCTACTTTTCTTCATTCAATATCTGTAACAGTTACAGCATGATTTCCAATCTGCATAAGCAAGAATAAGGCAAGAGTGCTAGGCCCTCGCATGTAATACGCTAATGTGTATGTGTATCAGAGAATGAAGCAAGCTTTAATTCTTGTTTGACAGTAAATTAATGATTTAATTCAGTTTAAAAGATTACTCTAATGTCAACTTGGTAATCTAAAATTAAGCATTTGAATTTAATACTTCAAGCGTATTTTTTGCTCAAAGTCCCTCATTTTTATCCTTCTACCAGATTCCTTCTATCACTCTAATAATCCAAATTCATTTTGATTGAAAGAAAATGCCACCATTAATGAGATATTATCTTTAAAAACATGTATTGAGGAAAAATATTTTAAGGACCAGATAAATATATTTATTTTTCAAATAATCAAATTTAAAGAAGAGTGATACTTTAAGGACTTTTGGCACGAAGAAAAGACAAAAGCAGATGAGAAATGCGAAAAATAATTAGAAAGGACCACCCAATCCTGGATACTACTTTTTCATGACAGGTCATATTCATTGCCCTGGCGATTTGCATTATTGGGGACAAATCCCAGAGTGGACTCACAGAGCTAACAATTTCATAAGAAAAGGAAAGGAAACCAGGAAAAAAAAAATCCGACCTGCCGGATTCGAACCAGCGACCTAAGGATCTCCGAGGTGCTACCCACTACAGTCCTCCGCTCTACCAACTGAGCTAAGGTCGGTTGTGGTCGAAGCGGCATAATCTAATTATTAACTATAATTAACAGAATTTTTATTGCAAACCAGGTGATAAAATATTGATATTTCATATCCTAGTTTACCAGCCTATGTTGATGTTGAAGAGCTCTGTACCAATCGAAGTTTCTATCCTTCATAACGTTCCCCAAAAACAACGGCACTGGTCTTCTTTTTCCCAGAACTAATGATCACAACTACGTGATGGCGATAGAATTGATTAATAGTTAATCATCACCACATAAATAAACAATCCTCGTAGTGATTAATTATGTGTACTTGGACGCCGTTTTCATATTTTCATCAAGTTGCTCCTTAATTAACCTATTCATGTGAAACAACTTGCACCATAAAAAATACACCACCACCACCACCTACGTACTTCGCATTTTCAAACACGCATGATCGTAAGTGTTAATTTACGAAGAAAATCCCCTCTATATATGTTAAAATCCATGGTTTTCTATGAAGTTTTCCTTTGTTTTTTTTTTTCGGTAAATATTTTCACTATTTTATTATTTTTTCCTTAAAAAGACAAATCAACTTCAAAAAATTCGTTCCCTTGAGATAAAATAAGTGGAATACATTCGAATATTATTGACTTAAAATCAAGGGTGATGCTATATTAAATATTCCTCCGGTCCTAAATACAAGACCATTTTATAATGTAAATTACACTACAAAATGGATTTTATATTTAGGACTAGAGGAGTATATGATTTCATTGCACATTCAATAAAAAAAAAATTAAATATACCAATCACATGATTTTTCAACGTTGAAGTCTTTTTAATTTTTATATATGTAAAATTTTTGTGACATTTTAATAGACTAAACAATCATGTTTCTCCAAGCTCTAATTGACTCGCTTACAAAGATTATACAATTTAAAATCAAGATGTCTCCGACAGATATAGTTATATATTAATCCCATAATTGTATACCAATTCAACAATCAATTAGAATAATTCATTCCTAATTTCCCAGAATCTAAAATGCTGTACAGTGGAGCCAATAAGTTATTTAGGTGGCCTGCTACAAAAATAATTAAAAACGAAAAAAGAATATAAATGTGGGTATATATATTCAAAATCCAGACAAGACGAATACTTGTTATATATGCTGCGGTGATCTTTCTCAGCGTCTGTGTCTCAGACTTATAGTCCGTCCAAACATATAATATGCCTTTGTCTGATTTTATATGCTTTCTTGTTGCTTCTCTTACACTCTCTGCTTTGTCTCTGTGTCCCATGGTCGAACCGCATCACCTCACCAATCCACGATTCAACTCCAACTACCCCATTTTCTGCCTCCCTCACTTTGTCTCTCTCTAGCTTCGCCCTCTCCTTCCTCTTTGTCTTCTTCTTTCTCTTAGAATCTGCTCTCTTGCTTGTATTGCCTCCTCTCTTCCCTACCCTTACTCTGCCTTTTTTGGCTATTTCTTACGCAACTCCCCAAAAAAGTTCACTAGAGTCAGTCCTCTTGATTTGAGGTGGGTTCGTTTGGGTTTCTGTTCTTGCTTAAGTCGTCATGGAATATTGCTGTGATCTTGAAGTGGATATAAATGGACAAGAGACCTTCCTGGTGAACAAAGTAAGTATTTTCTCTGTTTATCAGAGCCTCTATTTCATATTTTGACTTCGCGTATGTTTAGGATCTGAGGTATAGGCAGAACCCAGAAACTTCATCTTTTCATTCTTCTGGTTGATGGTTTCTGTTTGTGCTACATGTTGCTGCTTTTAGGGCCAGAAGTGATTATTGTTCAATGATTTTCTTTTAAAAGAGAAAATTGATACTATTCAATGATTTATCCACACATTCTGCGGTAGTTTCTCTCTTCTTTTTTCCGTTATCATTTCGTTAGTAACTCTATGACAAAAGTATAACATTCCGCCCATCATTAATATGCACCTACATGACAGTGAAGCGGGGCAATAATTATTTAATTATCATCTCCGTTTTTACAGACCACAAGCTCAAAGCACCTTCTTCTTTTTCTTTCTTCTTTCTTTGTTTTGATTAGTTTTCTGGTTTTGTTCTTGTTTGCGGCATACCGCATTAAGTGCTGGATTTTAATGTTCTCTCACCTTCATTTGTTTTATTCACTCCTTTTGCGAGTGACTCAGGGTTGCTTTCGAGGACATTTATTTCTCTTCTATACGCTTCCATGCTAGATTATTAGTAGATGGAGATCCTTCTGTCTCCCTCTAATGCACAATTTATTGTTCATAACAACCCCTGTGCCGGTGGTCCATTCTTTTGCAGCATCCTTCCTTTTTTCCTTAATTTTTTCTTGTCCCTTTTCTTTTCTCCGTCTGCTGGGTTAATTTGATGCTTAATTTCCCGTTTCATGTGCAGATAGAAAGAAATTGTAGATCTTTTCTCTGATGAAAGAATCTCCTTTGTCATCTAACTCTGTTTTCCTTTTAAATGGGTTTTTGCAGAATATTGTTGCTCATTATTCTGGCAAATTCATTAAATTATTTGGGAAAAATAGCGGCCCCAATAGAAAGCTTAAAGTAATATTCCATGACTTTCCAGGAGGGGCATCAGGTTTTGAGCTTGTATTGAGATTTTGTTACAACAATGGAAAGTATGACATAACTCCTTTCAATTTGTTCCTGGCACATTCTGCTGCAAAATTCATGGAAATGAAAGAGTCCGTTGCCGGAAATAGTCCTAATTTGTTGGAGCAAACAGAAAAATCACTGCAAGAGATTGGCTATTGGACATGGTCTGACCTTTTGACAGCCTTGAAACAGTGCCAAGATTTCACGCTAGTCGCAGGTTGTTCTACAATGATGCTCGAGAAATGCTTGGAATCCATAGTTGGCAGGCTTGTTTTGGCCAGCGAGGCTAGCCCATGTCCATCTTCTTGTTCCTCTGACATCTCTGGAGATCGATGTTCCAGCGAGTCCAAAAGCACAGAGAGTACAAAGACCGTATTTTCTCGTTCAACATGGTGGTTTGAAGACCTCCTGTTTCTCAGTCCTTTGGTGGTTCAAATGTTGGTGAAGTCTATGCTTTGGCGGAAACTGGATCATGTTATAATCAGTAGGTTTCTGATGTTTTACCAGAAGGCAAAGTTTTCTTCTGCCACAACTGATGAGAAGAGGAAGATCATAGAAATGGTCATAGACTCGCATTACATTATGGACCCGAGTGTTCTTGCTTGCAAGACTTTATTTGGGATTCTCCGAATCACTCTCAACTTGAACATAAGCAAATTTAGCAAGAACAAGTTGGAGAATATGATTGGCGCACAGTTGGATCAAGCAACGCTGGACAATTTGCTTGTTCCATCTCCTTATGGAATAAACTACTTATACGACGTGAATCTTGTTCTGAGGTTCTTGAAAGCATTCCTGCGTCAAGGAACCTGTTTGATCGCTCATGGTCGGATGAAGAAAGTTGCCAGCTTTATAGATTTGTATATAGCCGAAATAGCCCCTGATCCTTATTTAAAACCACCCAAGTTCTTGGCTCTTGCCTTGGCACTGCCAGATTCCGCAAGAGAATCCTACGATGAACTGTATCATGCAATGGACATGTATCTTGAGGTTAGTTGGTGAATGTGTATCATTTATTCTCCTCCTGAATTGTTATATGAAGGATTCATTCAAGTTTGTGGTGACATTTACATTTAAGGCAATCTTTGAGATTCTGACTCCGTCAATTTAATTTTTGAAGTCTCTAGTGTCCAATCTGTCCGTGTCACATGGTTGTCCGTTCTGTTACTGCCTGAAATAATATTGTGATCTCAAAAGAATGATTTATATAGGTTAAACCTCTTTATCAATTGAATCTTTTTCCAAATTGAAACCTACTTAAACGTGTTTGCTTTAGGTACATGCGGATTTGTCAGAGGAAGAAAGGCTGAAGATATGCGCTGCTTTAAATTACGAGAAGCTTTCAGCCGAGGCATGCCTGCATCTGTCTCAGAACAGAAAATTCCCTTCAAAATCCGCAGTTAAGGCTCTTATTGTTCAACAATCCAAGCTCAAAAACTTGATTCTTGGCTCTCCCAGTGGAGCTTCAATCACCATTTCGCCACGGCGTAGTTCCAGTGACATTGGTAGAAGAGGAACGAGACAAAGATCAATGAAGGAACGGGCCATGCTGCACACAACAGAATTTGATGTTTCGCCCCAAGACAAGAATTTCTCAGCAAACTTGCAGGGAATGCAATGGAGGGTCACAGAATTGGAGAACGTCTGTAGGAAACTGCAAACCCGGATGGCAAAGATCACGAAATCAAGAGTATCAAGCCATAGTTACTCAAGATCATTGCCCAAACTCTGTTCATGACAGAACAATTGTAATGATAGATTGAGATTTTTCCTATGTAACTTGCATGTAGTGTATAGTAAAGGAGTGAGTTCAATTTCATAGTTTCCCCCCAGTCCTACAGCGGACTGAAGTTGATTAATTAAGTTCACTGTACAGCAAAAGATGATATTGAGCCGAGTTTTTACTTACTTCCGTGTCCCTTCCTCTAATAAATATTCGAAATAAGCAAAGACAACATACATGTTTTCTGTGGGGCAAGACATATTAATTGAGTAGGATCATATATGATTAATACATATGTATGTGGGACCAGAAGTCAACGTCTCTAGTTTGGTAGTGTATGGCAATGGTGGGATTGATCAGAGGGACAAACTTTATTGCTGTTGTTATGGGGTCCAAAAACTTTACTGGTATTATAGAACGTGTTTGTGTATGTGACATGCAATCCTGTTGAGCAGAAAGGGAATGGAGCATTCAAGTTAGTGGGTCAAGCCCACCGCCATGATAAGAGGATGATGATATTGCCTTTTTTCTGCACTCACAGTTGGGTGAGCTCCAGAGAGGAACCACTTTCCTGAGCTGAACGTCTTTATCAGACAGAAAAAGGACATCTTCAAGAGTATGAGTTACTTGCGGAGCCTACGTGCATGGTCATTAAATATCTCTTCTTTTTGAATTTGAATGTTACTGTGATTTATTTTGGTTGTATCTTCCTGTAAGTTTTATAGCCATCATAGTTCGAATGTGAGGACAATCAAACAATAATAAATTCCATTTCATTATGAGTTGAACTCGTAAATTAAATGTCCCCGTCATTCACAAGTTGCTATCTTTTGATCTAACATATAATTTTGAGTAATAATATTGAGAGTTTGGCGTGTGGTTTATAAAATAAATATTAACCAGTACTAAATTCAAAACAATATTTTATTTGTTTCAATGGGTTTATTATTATGAACATGCTCATTAGTCGTACAAAAATTACTACTTGAAATTGGAATTGAACTCGTTAGCCCCCACCTATGAAAATTAATCTAACAATAATAGTAGGTAATTAATGAACAAGATCAAAGTTTTTCAGAAGCGGACAATATTTATTTGGAAAGAGTTTATGTTGAATATCTTTCTTAATTAGACGTTAAAATCAAAAGACAAATACCTCGTAACAAAGTTTGTTAAAATAGACAATTCCGGCATCATTATTATGCAGTTGCCTCTTTTTTAGATATTTTCATAACGAAAATCTAATAATTAAAAATACTTAGAACTATTATATCTGAGTTTTCTCTTTCTTATGTTTTTCTTTCCCGAACTCACCTAACGGTTTCATTGAAAATAACCTGAAGTTGACTGACAGTAGATACTACCTCCCTCTTAAATTGACTAATTGAATGGTTAAAAAAATTAGTTAAATTATTTATAATAAATAAGTGTTGTCTTTTTTAAAATATCTTTGTTAATTAAGTTTATTGGTTAGAATTACTATTATTACAAGAATTATCTTAAAAAAATAAATAAACATGAGAGACAAAGTGAATTGAAGTCTTATTAAATCAAAATAAAACTCAAACAAACTCTTATATTATGAACCAGAGATAATACTAATTAAATAGACATGTACTTGCGCATAGTTTTCTATTTCCTGTATGAGTCAAACAATTATAGTTGACTTATCTGTCATTGACGTGGAAGGGCTGGATAACGTAAATATTTCCCCATACATTGTTCCTGCGTGTCTCCGAGCAAAACATCCTTATCATCTCCTCTTACGCCTTCATTTCTAATTCCGTAAGCAATGGCACATAGCCGGCCAAAGCATTTTGGTTAGTTAAAAAGTTATTATATCCTTAATATGTGCCGTAGTTAACAAGACTTCATTCATTCATTCATTATAAGAAGAAAAAAAAGGGTTTAAAATCCAAAGGAGAATACATTATAAACAAACAAAGTATTTTAAACATCGAGAATTTAGAATGTTATAATATCCTAAATATAAGTTTGGTTTATAGTATAAATTGTACTATAAACTAGTTTTTGTATTTAGATAAAAACTATGACTTTTAAAATGCAATTTTGAATTCTTATTGTGTGTTAAAAATAATTCTGAAGTTGAGCTTATGATTTGATGCGAAGCAAAGTGAGAGACTGAAATCAATCTTTGCCTTCGACGCCACTCATGATCTTGCCGTTTACGAGGTCTCAGCGAATGAATACATTGATCGATGACTCCAAATGAAAATTAAAAGATGTGCGAAGAAGAGATGAATGAGCACTAAAAGAGGGATAATTTTAATTTATATGCTACTCAATGCCGTTATTACTGGGGGTATGCAGGTGACTTGAAGTAGAAGAAAACGCCTTTGACCAGTGAATCAAGCAGCCTCACGTGTACACTTCTACTTTTTAATGCAACTATAAATTTTGAAATCGCATTTGAATTTAGGATTAAATTGCATATAGTATCTTAAAATATTTTTTGAGGTATATTTAATAATCTAAAATATTTTGTGATGCATCTAACACTTTAAAATATTTTTCTATGTGTGTCTAGCACCTTAAAATACGGAGAATCCCAAAAAAAAAAAACTTCTGAAATTTCAAAATCCCAAATCAGGAATGACTGCAATATTGTTTTGTCATTTTCTTTGTAAATATTGTTAATTGTATTAAAGTATAGTAGATATGACTGATTTGAAAATTTGAAATTTAGAGGTATTTTTTTTGGAATTCTCCTTTAAAATATTTTCTGGTGCATCCAGCACTATAGAGTATTTTTTTAGGTAAGTCCAACACCTTAAAATATATTTTGGTGCATCTAGCACCAAGACAAAAAAAAAAAACTCTAGAGTGCTCGACACACCTGAAAAATACTTGAAGGTGCTAGATGTATCATAAAATATTTTAAAGTGTTAGATGCGAAAAAATATTTTAGAATGCTTAATGTCCTTTAACTCGTGGATTTATGGGAGAGGAATCTCTCCCTCCACTTCATCTCCACTTAATGTTTCCATCTTTAGATCAAGTTTCAATGGCTAAGATTTATTTTATTAAAATATTAAATATGAAATAATAGGAAGTAGATAAATAAATTTATACTGTTAAAATTTTATATAAGTAGTTTAATCTGATAAATTTTTGTTATATTTAATATTATAATAATATTTTTACTCACTTTTAAATCTCAACTATTAAAAGTTCATCTGATAGTAAAAAATAAAAAATTAAGTAGAGAGAAAAATTAGTAGAGGAATTCTTCATTTTTTATCTTGCACTTACAGTTTCAACGGACTGAGCACGCGTGGAGAAAAGCAACATACTTTGACAATAATCACAATAAATAAAAGAGGTGAACCTCAAGAAAATACGAAACCGTGCTCGATTAATCTAAAACTACAAACAGTTACTTTTTTCTCTAGTGCTTTTATTATAATCAGAATTTTTTTTCAATACTTCCATAACACTTTTAATATTTACAATAAGTTCGTTAATAGATATATATATATCTATATTTCTGTCTTGCTTCCATTACTTTGCTCATATTTTCCTTCAATTTGATAACACAAAATTGATGATGAAAACACAAAGTGCTTGATAATTTTTTTTCCCGAGGTAACAAAAATAAAATACTTCGGGGCTCTTTTTTGGGCCAACGTTTTGAGGATTTAGACTATCACGCAAATCCCCAATGGATTTTTTTTCTGGATCTTAAAATTGGAGGATCTGGTATTTGGGTTACTCAATACTCATGGCAGCCGTAGGCCCATTATGAAGGCCCAAATTTGTTTAAAAACAAATTTTGACTTGTTTAACGAAAAAACATTTATACATTTTTCTGACAAATAAAACTACCTTACGTCACTCAAATGAAAAATCTACATCCAATGTAGTTGGTGTCTACAAGCACACAAGTGTATTTTAATAAAATTTATGTGCGTATAAAAACAAGGGTGTAATGCATAATTTATATGCCAATTGAGCGGGCCGAGGAAAAGCTGGGATATGCTAGATTGCTAGAAAATGAACGAAAGAATGATGGATGGCTGCATGCTGATGCTTCAAAATGAAGGATAAAGCGGAGGGGAGGGGAAGAGGTATGGGTATGCGTACTTTGATATTATCTTAACGGAACACACACCATCCAAGTCAGGATGGCCGAGTGGTCTAAGGCGCCAGACTCAAGTTCTGGTCCTCGTGAGAGGGCGTGGGTTCAAATCCCACTTCTGACAGTGTTTTTGTTTCTTCAGGAAATGGGCTTGAATTTATGCGTTTTGGTAGTAACAAGGCCCAAAGAATCCGCATGAGGTCCCCATGATCCAATCAAAGCGATCCCTTGTAGAGAGCATCAGAGAAACGTCACATCTAGGTCTCAGTCGGATAATTATGAGTGTTGTAAACCAAATAGTAATATCAGGCCCAAAAAAAATCAAATAAAATGTTTGAAACTTAAGAGACTAAAACTAAAATAAAAATAAATTTGATGGATCAAAATTGTATTAATCCATGATAATAAAGTTCTGCAATTATGAGAAGGGAAAAGGGCAGAAAAAGTAACGGTCAGCAGAGTTTAGCAAGAAATCCTCAGAGGGGTGAGAGCAAATCATGACAAACTCTGCTCCACCGGCCCACATCACATGCGCTGCAGCCTGCAGCTGTCTCATTTGCCATCCCATTCCTCAATTCACGTTGCAGGGCCATCACAGCACAATCATGCCAAGGTTTGATAAGAAGATCTTTTCACAGAGGAGATCCAATAGTGGCTTCATCTTTTATTCATCTCCAGCTTAACGTCAACTCTGCCTGCGAATCCATCATTAACACATTAATTAATATTTCTGATGGTATGGGATGAAAGAAAATGGCTACCTTTCATTGCATGAAAAAAAAAAAAAAGCATCAGGAGAGCGATAGGGATCATTTATTAAGTGCGGGAAAATTCAAATCATTATATATTACCTCGGTCCTATTATAAGACCCTGTTTGACTTTTTTTGGTCCTAATTATAAGACTCCAATCCATTTTGTCTTCATATTTATACATTTTTTTCCAAAATAATCCTTCTCATAATGATAGTTCTAGCCAATACACTTAATTAACAGAGATATTTTAGGAATGACAACACTTATTTATTACAAATAACTAACTTAACTTACTTCCTTAATCTCCCCAAATAAGTCAACTGGGTCTTATAATTAGGACCGGAGGTACTCCTCCGTCCTTATTATAAGACCCAATTTGACTTTTATTTGGTCCTAATTATAAGACCCAATCCATTTTCTCTCTTATATTATGCATTTTTTTCCAAGATAATCCTTCTAATAATGATAGTTTTAGCCAATATACTTAATTAGCAAGGATATTTTAGGAATAACAACACTTATTTATTATAAATAAGCAACTTAACTTACTTCCTTAATCTCCTCAAATAAGTCAATTGGGTTTTATAATTAGGACAGGAGGAGTAGTATAATTTAAGAAGTAATGTAAAACAATACTATTTTAAATGAAAAGAGTGTGTAACAGTCATTGTCCCAAGCAATGTGATGAAATAAGCAGAGTGAGAGCCTATATGAACAGAGGCACCAAAATCTGTGTTCAGAAGGCTAAGTAAGCCTTTCCAAACCCTGTATTTCAGCGACTACCGGAGTGCGGAGTGGCGAGAGCCACGTCGTCGACTTCTCTAATGACAATGGCTGATGCGTTCGCCGGAGCTAAAATTTCAGGCACGCTTCCATCATCATATATGAGACTGTTTTCTCCACTCAGTTGGCCATGCACATATCAACCAATTTCCCTTTCATTCCCCAGCAACAAGCGTCCAATCTTACGTCACCCATCCATCACTAAGTCCGTCGCATTTTATGACAAGGTACATCCCTCAGATATCAAGCTTTTATTACCTTATTCTGCTTCTGTTTTCTGATACGGGAGTGTGTATAAATATATATATATATATATATTATAATACGTGTCTTTGTGTTGATGTTAGTTTGTAGCTGTGGAAACTGATGAGTGCAGTCAAAGCTCGGGAGAATTGGTGAGAAGAATCCAAGAGACACTGAGAAACACGACAGATCCAACGCAAGCCTTGAAGATGATAGACACAATCCAACATTTAGGAATTTCGCACCATTTCGAAGAAGACATCGACGCAATACTGAGAGGTTTGTGTGGTTGGGACGCTGGTGACAATCTCTTTGCCACTGCTCTTCACTTCCGCCTTCTCAGACACCATGCCTCCGTACCTTGTTCATCAGGTTTTTTTCTTCTTTTTTTTCCCTTTTGGTTTACAAGTTGGTCTATTTTCCGGTAGAAATTTCGCCCGGACATAGATGTTACTCATCATGCTCAATTACAAAATCTGTTTTCTGCAATTTGATACTCTGATTAGTTGTTTGGTGTGGTAGATGTTTTTAAGAAATTTACAGATGCGAGGGGGAGATTCAAAGAATCAATTGGCAGGGAGACGTGGGATTTGTTAAGCTTGTACGAGGCTTCATACTTAGGAGCAGAGGGTGAGGATATATTAACGGAAGCCATGGACTTTACAAAGCTCCATCTTGGCCGATCCTTACCACACCTAAGCCCTGAAGAAGGACGCCACGTTGAGAGAGCCTTGAGGCATCCGAGGCACCTCAGAATGGCCAGGCTGGAAGCCAGAGACTACATCCATGAATACGAACAATGTAGCGACCACACGCCAGCTCTGTTGACATTGGCCAAGTTAGACTTCGACATGGTTCAATCGCTGCACCAAAAAGAGTTAACAGAGATATGCAGGCGAGAAAGATCTCACCCTTTAAAACGTTTTTGATCATTTTGAATGCTGCATATACGGACAACTGAAGTTTCTGCTTGACATTCGTAGGTGGTGGAAAGAACTGGGGCTTGCTGATAAACTTGGTTTTGCGAGAGACAGACCCTCAGAGTGCTTCCTGTGGACAGTGGGGACATTTCCAGAGCCATGCTATTCTAAATGCCGAATTCAACTCAGCAAAACCATCTGCATATTACTGGTTATGGATGATATCTTTGACTCTTATGGCTCCTTGGATGAACTTGTTCTTTTCACTGAAGCCATCAGAAGGTTGATCTGCTTGTCAAATAATTTCTTGTGATCACTAGAAAAAAATCAACACAGGTGATTCAGAATAGGTCACATTGTTAACATACGTGCTTACAGGTGGGATCTGGACGCGATGGAAGGGCTGCCCGAGTATATGAAGATATGCTATATGGCATTGTACAACACAACCAACGAAATGGCCTACAGAGTTCAGAGAGACCATGGCCTGACCGTCGTTGCACACCTGAAAAGAACTGTAAGAGTATTAAATAAATAATCAGAAATGATGACAAATATTAGAAAAGAGTACTGTCCGGGATGGGATTATGCAATTCATTATGAATGACTTGGGTGCAGTGGATAGACATAATTGAAGCATTCTTAGAGGAAGCCAAGTGGTTCAGCAGGGGACACATACCAAGTTTTGAAGAATATTTGGAGAATGGTGTCACTTCTGCAGGATCATACATGGCAATGGTTCACGCATTCTTCCTAATAGGAGATGATCTCTCAAAGCAAAACATTTCCACGATGATGAACCCGTATCCAAGGCTCTTCACTGTGTCTGGCCAGATTCTTCGCCTTTGGGATGACTTGGGAACTTCAACGGTACGTGTGCCCTTCTTTAGTTATCCTTCTTTTCAATTTGTCCTCCACACGCCAAATAGGATATCCAATTAATAAATGAATGAAGTTTCACTGTGATAATTAACCAGGAGGAACAAGAAAGAGGAGACAATGCATGCAGTATCCAATGCTACATGAGAGATAATCCTCACTTAGAGGAAGACAAAGCGAGAAAATACGTAAGAGAGCGAATAGGGAAGCTGTGGTGGGAACTAAACAGCATAGCTATGGCATCAAAGTCGCTGCCATGGTCAACTGTGAAGGCTTCGCTTAACGTAGCAAGATCTGCGCAGGTCATTTATGAGCATGGAGACGACAGAAACGCGTATAGCGTAGATGATTATGTACAAGCATTACTCTTCCGATCTTTTTCAAACCACTAATCCTACCTAAACCCTTATTTGGGAAAAATTAGATACACTTCATCTCTATTTACTTGTGTTAATTTATATTTATATTTTTGACTTTAAATATATGTCCTGTTTTAATACAACCCGGGGGATAGGAAGGATGCGGTGCATAATGAATTGGACCCCGGAAGCTTTTGTCAATGCTCTGTATGCAAGTAATATTCTCTCATATCTCTCTTTTGCTAGATTCCTTATAAGAGCCAGGTTAAGGAAGACGACCAGGTCTCTCCTTGACGAGAGCGGCATCACGAAGCTTCTTCTTTTTTTTTCCCCCTCTTGATTTTTGTTCCGTGTATTGTATTGTGAGTTCAGTTTTTTCTATCCGACTTATAAAGGAAGAAATAGGAAAAGGAAAACTCTTGTTGTAAATATGAAAAGCTCTTTTTAAAAAAGAAAGTCATTTTGTTACCTCTATAATAGTTTGTTTTTTCCTTCAAATTTTACATTCGTTGCCCGTGAACAAAAACATATACGGCCAATAATGTAATTCCCCAGATATAAAGATGACTAAGTAATTGCAAGTCTATTAACTCCGAGGCATTTATCAGCCTCTTAGTTGAATGGGCTCGACAATTAGCGATCGAATCCGGTTCCTGGACGTAGCATCTGGAGCTCCATGGCCATCACCATACTGGTAGGTGCAGTGGGAAATTCTTGCAAGGTTCATGGCAGTTTCTACAAAAGCTTTTGAAAATGTGGTCTCTATTCCTCTTCCTTTGTTCATCTCCTTCCACGTCTCATCCACCAATCTGCGCACGTATTTTTGGCTATTCTCCTCAGTGGCCCCACTCTGGTGCATGTGACATAGTATCGAACTTATTGATTCACCTCTCTCTAACTCCGCCTGAAGAAAACATTGACAATGAATGAAGACAGTAATTAAAATGAGGTCCTCGTCAGAGCGTGCGAAGAGAGAGTACGTAGAACCAAATGACGTACAACATAAGATTTGAGTGATTGATAAAGAATAGGCCACCTTCGATGTGCCCAAATCGTTGCAGAGACGGAAAATAACGGAAGGACAACGCAAGAGGGGATGGTGAGGGCCCAACGATTGAAGTGACTCCTTTGAGAAATTGTGGTTGAGAAAGAAATAAGCATGGAAGAGGATTACTACTCCTGAAACTGATACCCAGGCGTTCTGAAGTAGCCGTCGAATGAGGGTATGTGTTTGTCATGGACCACCTGGCTTCTTGAAGCCATGATTTCAACATGTCTGCCCACTAAAATTATTGAGGTAAGAGTTAGTTTCCCAATGAAATAGTATTTAACATGTGGTATGTTCTATAGTGAAGCGTTTTCGTGGGCACTCACTGCTTTGGTGAGGTAGGGTAGGATGTTGTGGCCTTGCCCTTTCAGTGCCTCGTAAGCCATTTCATTGACAGTGTTGTAGAGAGCCAGGAAACACACTTTCATGTACTCCGGCAGATCTTGTATCGCGTTGATATCCCACCTGAAACATTAAAAAAAAAAAAAAAAGCATTCACCACATAATATTCGTACGTAATATGTTTGGCTGGCTTTCAATAGAAATAATATTTATCAAATAAATTTATCCGAATGTAGGAGAAAGCAAACCTTTCAACCGCGGCGGTAAACAGCTCGAGTTCATCCAGAGTGCCATAAACATCATAGACGTCGTCGATTATGGTAATGAAACAAGTGACTTTGGTTAGTGCTTTTCGGAGCTCACTGTGTTGAGGTTCGGACTCCATTCCCACGGCCCAGAAGAAGCACTCCATTAGCCTGTCCCTGCTGAAGCTCAACCTTGATGCCAGTCCCATCGCCTTCCACCACCTATAATTAGTTATATCAATATTTGAAGCCAATTTCTCTTTTTGACTTCTACTATTTGGTTGTTGCTATACGTATGCGTCTAGGGAAACAAATATAATAAACTGAAGAACCTTGACATTTCCTGCAGATCCCTTTGAAATGTTGACTGTACTATGTTAAAATCCAGTACAGCAGCTTCGAGAAGGACCGTGTCTGCGTTTTTCCTCTTACCATATGCTTCTATGTACCATCTCGCCTCTAACCTTCCCGTTCTGCGATGTAATGGAAGGTCCAGCGCGTGACTGATCGCTTGTTGCAACAGATGATCGTTGCTTATATGTTGCTTCATGTCCCTGAGATGGATGGTGGTGAAGGCCTTGGCCTCCTCCAGAATGTCCTCTCCTTGGTATCCCAGAAATGTTGCCTCGTGCAGACTCAACATCCCTCGCACATCTCTGCTGAGCCATGCCTTAAAATTACCGTTTTGGTCCTTGAAACTCTCAAATATGTCTGCGTTATTTATGTCCCGGTCACATCATTTACTTTGGTTTATGCGAGAGAGTTAATTATGAGAAAAAGGAAAAAAGAAAACCATAAGGAGATAGCCATATGCGTAGGACCTGGTGAGACGTCATAGCCATGGTCTCTGAGGAGTCTGAAGCTTAAGGCAGCTTCATGAAGGCTTGTGTGCTGTTTTGTTTGAGGACGGCTTTGTTCCCAGGAGACATAACAATCAAGAGCGTGTTTGATCTCATTGTGAAAGCGGTAGCCGAGGCCTAAGCGCTGGACATCGTCAATGAGCTCGAGCTTTGGCAATGGCTCAGTATTGGGATTCACGATCATCCTCCTCACATCCTCCAGCAGCTTCCTTGCTCTGGTCTCGTACTTCTCATCCTATAACAACAAGCTAAGTATTGTTAATTGTATGTCATATATAATAATGGAAGATGGTGAATAACGCTCTCCATATACATCGTGAATTAATTGACCAGGAAATTAAGGAAGTAAAATTACCGTGTAACCATTGTTCAAGGATTGGAGGAAGTCATAAGTCCAGAAGGTAGGCTGGTAATTGGCGGAGTTTCTGAGAGAGGAGGGAGGGAGGGAAAGCGTCCGTTGGGTGGCCAAGCATCGGAGGTTGGTGTGATAGTAACCAATCCTGTGGAAGGAAAGAGGCCCTCCTGGTTCGCAGTGCTTTCTAAAACTAAATGAGATGGAGGAACTGGGCAAGAAGGTAGTGGGCAAGGCCATAGTCGTTTAGTTTGCGAATGTGAATTGCTTGCGTCGGGTCTCATTATATATAGCGCTCTGATCTCTCTCCATCCTCCGGTCTCTAGGGGGCACTATAAATTCATTCAACACTATCCACGTGGGAGAAAAGTAATGCTCCTCCGCTCTATAAAACTTCAAACATAGTAAGTCTAATCTACACTACAAAATGATATTCATTTAGGATCAGAGGTTCGGTCCTTGGTATAAAACACAACTGACTGATTTAAAAAAATTACTAAATTACTTAGTTATATCATATGTTATATTTATAAGTGAAAGAAATTAGTTAAAAAACGATAAATATAAATACTTAAAAGTAATTTAATAATTTTTTAAATTTTCTCGAATTAATTAATTGAATTTTATATTAAACATAAAAGCACTAGTCATCAACACGTTATCCTTTATATAGTCCATAGTCGTACGAATTAAACGGAATTTTGTTTTCGCTAACAATTTAAACGGAATTAATATGATATAGTGGAAGGTTCTCTTTATTTCATTTCATCTTTGATTTTTCTCTAGTTTTTTGTCTGTGTTAATTATTATAATCCATTAATATGTTTGATTTTATTCACTAGCTATATGAATCACAATTGAATAAATAACTAAATATATTTTCCTACGTAGTATACATAGAGCTTTAAACAACGAATTGTAGAAAAGGGGACCCTCCTAGGTATATCTTTAATTCGCTCTCAATTTTGCAAGCATTTAATTACTATTTTTTGTCATCCTCATTAATCCGTTTTGAAGATGAAGACTTGTCATAAATAAAAAATAGATTAATTTAATTTAGTGAATTTTTCATGCATTAAAATTTGATATACAATTTTGAAAAATATAGTAATAAATTAACTTATACAGCATTTAATTTGTTGAAAATATTGAAAAAGTACAATTCGAATTTTAAAAAACTAATTTTTGAATATTATAGAAATTCAAGAAAGGTCATAATATGAGCAAGAACATTTGCAAAATAAACAAGACCCGTAAATTTTTAGAAACACAAGAACCTGAGCAAGAGAGAGGCTAGAAAATTAACAAAAACACTTGTAAAATAATCAAAGATCTATTGCAAGTTTTGAAAATGGTTTCCTATTTCTGCAACCGGTCTTCCATATTTCTGACAACTAGCCTTTAATTCACACACACACACACACACACACACATATTGGGAAAAATTGCAATTTTTTTTCAATTTGCCTCCTTAGAAAATCTTAAAGTGGTCTTTCCAATTTAATTATGCAATTAATTTTTCTTTTCAGGAAATCGTTTTGTTGGTCCATACTTTTGAGGGTATTTGACAGGTTACAACGCCACACTAACTCCAGTAGGATATTAATGTAGAGGAGCTGATTGAATAAAATAGGAGAAGAAAAATATGCAGGAGTGAATCCAAATGCATGGTTATGCCCATATACAAGTTTAAAGAAAATAAGAGAACTTTAATGGATAGAAACTATATACTATATAGGATAATCTCAAAGAACTTTAGCTCCTGTTTGGCGCAAAATATTGAAAATAAGAAATAGGAATTGAGATTGTAATTGAGAAAAATCACTAAAAAGTATTTAGCATTAATAATTATTTATTATATGAAATTAAGCAAACCCATGAAAGTAGGATTTGGAAATACCACTTTTTTCTGTGATATTCCTCAATTTCACATACATGGATTTTTCTAATTCAATGTGATAAGCAATCTTTCATGCTAAACTATCCTTTAATAGATTTTTTCAATTATAATCTCAATCCCTATTGATAAATCCCTATTTTAATATGTTATTTGATTTCTTTTTAGGAATATTTATCAATTAAAGTGGGATAAACTGTATTGATTATGGATATCTTGAATCAAATATTGCTTGCATGATTTAAAAGAAAATCTTATGATATTTTTATCTCTTTTTAAATAATTGATTT